TCATCCTATATTTTCTACCTAAGAAATTTTTACATTTCTTTCATTAATTTCTGCGTAAAGACAAAAATAAGCATAACTCAATCTTATAATCATTTTAAATTACGCCTGCAAGAGGCATAATCTTTTTAAAGAGAAATAAAGAATAATGGATTCTTCTCACATGCTGCCTCTGAATTTTGTATCCTACTTGCTTTACGTTTGTGCTGCTGAGATGTTGGTTGTGGATCCTTTAGTTTCTGAAGTCCAGCCTTAAATATATTTTTTTTCCTAAAATATATGTATTACTTTATTCTACAAAATAAATTAGGAGGACGAAAATGATGCTGATGCACAGTTCATGCATTTCTATGAACAAAATTAATGCTTTGTCATTCTTTTTAGAAATGTCAGGAATGTCAAATCCTATTCTTTTCTGGCTGAAGGATGTGGATGACTCAGGGAAAAGTGCTTGCAAAAAGTGCTTGGAAGTTATTCAGGACTTTAATTGCAGATCTGAACTGTTGAGAGAGAACTTGCTCCCGTCTGTGTGTTCTACATTGGTGCTTCACAAGCAGTAGTTTTCTCCACCCTTTCCTTAAAATATGATTTTAATTCTGCTTTTAGTGAGGTATTTGGAATATAAATTAGAATAGCTGTTCAGTCCTCTCTCCTTTCTCAGATCAAATGCAAGTTATGCTTCTGACCTTTAAAAATATTCATAACTTTCTAATACTTCCCACGTATTTTCTTCCCTTGCTAAGTGCCTGCTGTGAGTCAGGCATTCTTGCTTGCTGAGGACATGGAGATCCACAGTAGCAAAGAGAAAAATGGTGACTTACAGGGGCATGTAAGGTGCTACCTTTCACTTGACTGTGTTTAATATTAAGCCATAAAACATGGCCTGTACCTGCCTTAAGACACACCCGTGTCCTCGTTTTTTCAACAAACCATAGTTTCAAGAATAACTTTATCACTGGTAACAGCAGTTCAGAAAAAAACGAAGATTGTTTGCTGGAAAGAAATGATCTCATTAAAGCAAAGAGCTTGGTAATTAAGCTCCAGAACACATTCTGAAAAGAGTATTTTGACATGGAGAACAGCCATGGTAAACTGTGTTGCTCATACTGTTTATGAAGGTTATGAGACTTGGCTTCATATACTAAAATGTGAAAGAAATGAAGCGGTCTGAGGGTAGTAATTGGCAGTTTGGCTAACTGGAGAAGTATGATGAGCAGAATATGAGTACGCTGTCACTCAAAGTTTAATTAAATATTGGCAGTTTGTTGAATGACGAAATCACAAGGAGTAAGTTGTTAAAGTCAGACTAAACAAACAACCAGTGGTTCCCATTGTAACTTAAGTTTATAACCAAATGCATTAAGCAACTCCATGTGGCTCCAGAAAGGCGAAGTGACAGTATTGGTCAAGGCTGTTTCTGTTCTGTTTTTCACTGTGCAGGCCTGTTTTTAGAAGACTGATAATTTCTTTTGCTGGAATTGTTTGTGACTTTGTTACACTGAGTCAACCTACTGTTATTCATGGCCACAGGAACTGGGAAATACCATGTAGCAGGCATGTATGCCAGCTTTGTCTGAAGGATCTCGCTCTGTTCACTTCCCACCAGCTGGCTCTGCGCTCACCGCGTGTCCTCCCCGATCTCCGGTAAAGCCCCGGTGTCTGCGTTGCGCTCCCCAGTGTGTGTGTTGATTCCATCAGGTGCAGATTTATATGAACGCATGGAAACCGCTCGGGTTTGACGTGACGGCAACGCTGCCGGGTCCTTCAGTGCTGTGGTGGTGAAGCAGCTATACCCCCCCCTCCTCTCATCATTTGGGCCTTTGGGTAGCTAACTCAAGCATCTTTGCGTTCTGTTTTTCCATCCTTCAATGAGAGGGCTTATGAGCTCCAGGGCAGCACTGGGCTTGAGCTAACTGTGGTTTTACATGTTGCCATGCTTGATGAAATAAGCCATCTCGGAGCAGAAACAGTGGATACTCATGGAGTCAAGTGGAATCCCTGTCAGCCAGTACAAACCAGCCCGCTGGCCTTGTGCTGGTTCTGAGGAGTCACTGCAGCACGTCCATGCTGCGTTCCGCAGCTCTTCGCGTTGAAGAAGCAGAAAGGAACCTGATTGATTGCCACTGGGTGCCATGACCTTCAATCTAACAGAACTTCTTAGTTCAAATCCAAAGCAGAAACTTGAGTTAATTCTCCATCTGTGGTGTCGGTAATCTGCAACCAACGCAACTGAACGCAAATAATTGAGTTGACAATAATCTAGTGTTTGGTCTGTCACTTGGTCAGATGAATGTGTTTGGAAGAGATTGAGGAAGTCATTTTATTAACCAGAGTTCCACCAAGAGAAACCCTTCAACCCTACAGAAACACTGAATAAGCATTTGCAGTTGAAAAGAAATTAAAGGCATACTGTTTTGGTGCTTCAGTAAGAACGAAACAATAGTGGAAGTTATAAACATACATAGGTATACACATTGCCATTTACACATGGTTGTGTTTTACTAATAGTATTGACTTTAATGTAGGATTATTAAATATTTCTGTACTTTAAGAATGGTGTTCTGTTGTAGAAAGTAGTTGATTTCATACAGAACGACAGGATCTTGATTTTAAAATAAGTTAAACACGAATGGGACAATGGTGTGCTCCTAGCCTAACAAAAAACATTACAGCAGAATGGCACCACATAAAATCTGGGGGGTGAAGGTGGTCATTTTGTGAGCTTCCTTTCTGTTGTTTTACTTAAATCAACTTGTCTTCCATTAGCTAGGGGAAAAAAAAAAAGGACCTTTGAGCAGTCTGTCAGGAATCCCAAGTAACGTTTCCTTTTCCTTTGACAGAACCAAGGGGAGTTGAACTATAAATTTCTCACAACATTCTGCTCTTTGGTCCATGGCTGCAGCAATTTCAGTGTATTTAAATGCCTGTATCAACATCTGATTAAATTTTATCAGACTTACACTAATCAGCTCTAAGTAACAAGATTTTTAAGAGGCAGACATCCAGTTGCACTCCATTTAATTAGAACTGCAGCAAAAAAAAAATGTATTTTCTCAAATTATAAATGACATGGCATACAGTCAAGTCTTTTTTTTTATGTCAGTACAACTTGATTGTGAATATCTAATTTCCGAAGCCAAAATTAGCAGACTAAGTCCTTAGAAGAATTTCAGGATGAAGGACTTGCTATCCTGGAGAGGTTACAATTCCCAGGTTCCCTCTGCAACAGTGATGTGCAGAGGCATTTAAGTCTTTCATGATACTGAGACAAAAAAAAGCTATGATATCGTTGGGTGCCAGAACTGTTTTATACCAATTCGAAGAGTCTTGGTTTGAGTTGTGGAAAACATAGTGGGAATGATGGTAATTACAAGATATTATGTCATTATGACCTGTTATTTGTGGCTTTGACCACAAATGTGCTAGCAACATGCTGTTGCCATCCCTCGGACTGTAGAAATCATCATGTGTCACACTGTGTATTCTGTCTGAAAGGGGTTTGTTTCATCCAGAGCTGGAGCCACGTTAGTTGCAATTTGTGCCCCTTGCCACTTGCCTTCCTGCCACACGCTGCAGTGTGGCCCCTCATTCCTCCTTGATGGCAGGTCCCTCTGAACCTGTCTCCTCCATCCTGAAAAAGCCCCATTCCCTGAGCCTACCAGGTGATCTGTAGTGGCAAAGATGTTGAAATAAACTTTCAAAAAAAATGCTGAGTCTTTGCACAGAATGCAAATATATTTGGGGAAAATTCAGCCAAGGGGAAAATTCAGATTTTTTAAAATTCTTTTTATATGCTTTCTTTGTCTTTATATGCTTTTCCTCCCAGACTTTCACTGAAATCTGCCTTGTGTTCCTACTTAAAAAGGAAAATCTTGGGATATTAGGTAACTGCAAACATTGTGCTTTCATTTTATGCTACTTCAATGCTCTCAGTCTCCTGATTGCTGTGACGTTTTGCTGCTGATTTTCTGACGTTCTCAAGCAGAGTTGGCCCCGTTGCCTTTATTGGGCTTTTTATGGTTATTTGAGTAGATATTGCTATCGGTCCAAGTTTGTAATTACTTTAATATGCTGAAGAGTCTATCCCATTAACCAAACTAACAAGTGGAGTGAAGATACCTGCCATTATAAAGAAGGGAAATTAGCTTTGTCACTGATGTTAGTTGCCCTGCTTTCACTGGAACACCATGAATTTACAGTGTGAGGACCATATACTATTCAGAAGTACAGGCAGTTTACTCCAGTGTAGCCATAGCTGAGCTCTTGACATTATCCGGGGAGGCTAGACTTCATTTAACAGGTGCTATGGCTTGGACAGGACTTGCAGCATTTTGCAGAAGCTTTGAACAAATAGCAGGAATTGGCACATCACATACATCTCACAATTAATTGTGTCAGGTTGGCTTCTCAAATTGGTGCTAGTATTTGAAGCTGACTTGAAGTTTTGCAAATATGAGGTGCTAGCTTCATCAGAGACAAGGGGGCTCAGTGAAGCTGTGCTCACACATTATTGTTTTGAGGGCAGCACATTCCAGAGAGAAGGAACTGTTTGGAGTTAACGTGTGGTCTTGTACTTATCATTAGGTACATTAAATGATTGTACTATAATTAAAATTAGGAATTGCTGAAATTCAGTGCATTGATGTCAGTACTAAGCTTTTGCTTTAGACAGAATTCAGACAAATTCTGCAAGATTTTAGAAACTTGAAAATTCAGTTAGTGTGAAGATACAGTAGGATTAACTCTGTTTCCTCATTTATGTTTGCACTTTCCATAATTTCAGCTAAAGCGTAACTGCAAAGCAATTTTCCATTTTTAAATTTGCTATAGGGAAGAAAAATGTTCATGTTTTTATGAGAAGAAAGTGAGACTCACTGCAGCGGGCTGGAGCGTGAACTGGGGCTGGACACAGAGCCAAGGCCCTGCACACACTGGTCCTTTTGCCAAACGTAGCCGGCAGCGGCATCGCACAGAAATGCCCCAGTGCCAGGCGGACCCTCGGAATGGTCCGGGAACTGCAAACCTCACGGGCAGATGGTGGGAGTTTGGTGGGAGACTTAACGCTGGGCTTTCGTAGGCAGTGCCTTGCGGTCGAAACCAACGGGTGGGCAGTGCCACGGACCCTCCTCTGCCTGGAGATCTGTTTTGCTGCAGCTGCTCGTAGCAGCGTTGTTCAAGCTGGAGTCTCTGTACTCAGCCTCATTTTAGATTTGCTTGCTTTTCCATTGCTTTCTCACAGATTTTAGCACTCCAAAGATCTGATTAATCTTAAACTTAGCTGTTCGCTCATCCTGGTGGTGATGCTACTGGTGGTAAAGTTGCTTTATGATTTATATTCAAATACTTATGTTCAAAATTTTATAGCTTATCACTTTCCTGTGCTCAGTTGTTATTCTTGAAATCCTGAATGGTCAAAATCTGAGCTTCACTCTGTGCCTTCCCCTTTTGCCATTAAATACTGTTACTGTCAGCCCTACTGGCAGCCGCTGTGGCTGTGATCCTGATCTCAGTATTTGGTGGGGTTTGGAGAGTTTTCTGAAAGCTTTTTGTTTCCTTGAAATGCTGAATCTTTGGGATTTATGGTACTATCTCTCTTCATTGGTGTTTATGTTGCTCTTTCTGTTTTGTTTTTTTCCCTCCTAATATATCTATATTAGGTATCTAGGCCAATACCTAAGCTGGAACGTTATTATTGTCCTATCTTGAAAGTTGTTCCGTAATTAGACAATCACCTCCAGGAGTGATTTATTTGCACAGATGTGCACACTTGCACCTTTGCTGAGTCCATCTTTAACCTAGCAAAGTACTTTTTGCTGTATGATCAGTTTAGTTTCCTGTGAGTAGCACAGTGAGCTTGGCGGCGCGAGCCTGAGCAGGCGAGGAGGTGCAGAACCACGTGGGAAGAGCAGGAAGCAGGGGCTGCCTTTGGTGACAGCGAGCCATTAATTTGGCTCTGCTACATTTTTGAACCATACTCTCAGTGAAGCCAGAAAATACTTAAAATGTCACATAAGCATTTCTTTCCTTAGGACTATGCCGTTAAAGTTTTAACTTCTGATAGATTCTCGTTATGGTTATCCCAAAAATACCAAGGTTAATCATGACGAGGTATCGTATTCTTTCCAATTACAAAATTAGTCTACAAATCCGGCTGTTTTCTACATTTTTTCCCTCTCTTTCAGAAGGAAGATGCTGCTAATGAGGAAATGGCAGAAAGACTGTCTCTTCGGAAGCATCGCTTCATGCATTTTGCATCATTGGAATATGAAGGAGAACATTACATGACACCAAGAGATTTCTTGTTTTCAGTAATGTTTGATCAGGTTGAACGTAAGTTATTTTATTGTTGTATTTGTGAAGGAACAAGGACCTGAAGTTCTCTTGAGGATATAATTTACAAGTCATTGCGATAAGATCCTTTTTCTGACATAAATCAGCAGAAGCCTATTGGTAAATTGTGTGGGTATGGGTTCTCCCAGGCACTAGCCTGTACTCTACTTAAGTAGCAGTGATCTAGAAACTGGAGACTTGGTGGTGCATAATTTGCATGTCTAATTAGTTTGTAATTCTTCAGTTACTTACATGACACAGAAAGGAGAAAGGATGTAATATGGTAGTTTGCTGTATTAATGCTCATACCATTCCAGTCACTATTGATAAGTGACCTGAAAGAGGATCAAAAAACACAGAGTTCAGCTCTAGGTTTCTGATATCAACCTCTTCTGGTCTGTGAAGATTCAAAGTTGTTTGCAAAAAAAGCAAAAAAAAAGAAAAGTACTTTTAAAATGCACTGAGAAGAAGCCAGGACAAATGCACTGATAAAAATCTTATAGGTTGTTGTCCTCCTTTTCTTATGGATATCTGACCTCATTCCATCTGGTTAAGTCTGTCTACATCTTAAGCTTCTTCCATTTGTCTTTTTGTTGTCTTCTGTATGTACCGTGTTAGAATGATTTTTCTCTCTTTAATATGATGCACCTCTTTTCTCCAAATATGAAGCTTTCACAGCTTCCTCAATAAAATTTTGCTTTAGAATGGTTAAGTTCTCAGATTCACAGAAAACTGCAATACAGAAGAGAAATATCCCGTTATACTAATAATCTGTCAGTATGTCTGTGAAGGAAAAGATGGGGAAATCCCAGCTTTAATTCTTGTTTGCTGGCCACTCTGCATATATTAACTAGTCAAGCAAAAGCCATACCCAGCCTGTGGTGGTCCTTGCCCTGCTAGCATGGCTGTTAGAGAGACCTGAAGGGGTTTAGAAGGAGCACAGCAAATACAGAAGGGACTTCACAGTAGTGTTGAAAGGTTTGAGGGACCTGAAGAAATGAGGAGGCCTGAAGGTGCTCTGATTTGAGACTACGGTAAACATGAAAGTGGAACAGAAGTTATTTTGCTGCAAGTGGTCAAACAGAGCACAAGAATCTGTAAAAAAAAAAAAACACTTTTCCTATGTCTGCCAAAAATCTATAGTTGATACAAGTATATGGCTTCGCTGCTGACACACAGCTTCTCATGCTCTATAAAGCTGAATATAAATCCTTAGAAGGATTGAAGGATTTATGGTCTTGAAAGTCAATGAGTCTGTGTGTGTGTATATATGTGTCTATATATGTATAAAGATATAGATAATAGGAAGAAATTTTTGTCTGTTAAAACTTACACTATTGAGTTAAAAAGCCTTTAGGGATTTTCATTGAGTTTTCCAACAAGAAACACTGAAAAACGGTGAGTAATGAAAATTCCTGTTTGGAAGGTGTGGGTTTCGTAGAGCTGTCTGTGAAAGCAAGGTTAGAAAAAGGAAGTGTTTTTCAGTCTTAGCACTTCATGCATATCAATTGCTTACTCCAGCTATAGTATGCATGTACATTTTAATGAAGTGGATAAGGTTTATTTATAATGCAGCCACGTTAGTTTCAGTTACTTTGTTAATATCAATAGGAAATTCTCTGCTTGTATCATAAAATATATGATCAGCCTCTTCCCAAAGCCTCCAAGGAAAAAAAAAGACATGTTCTTCAAATACAGTCTTTGCAGCACATTTGGAAGGTTAAACTCTGGCTACGTTGGACCAATACAGCAGGCAAATTCCAAAGTGCTGAGATCCGTCCTCAAAGGTCAGCTCTTCTGTGCATCTTCTATCAAGGTCCATGCTGAGACTGCAGGGGGAAGAGGTCGCTGCATAAGGGCTTCTGTAGGAGGGAACCAGTTCCTTAAACATTATCAATAAGCAGCTAGTG